TCTGTTGAATATTTGTGCATCTATGATAATCAGAGATATTGGTCTATATTTCTTTCTTGCATCTTTTCCTGTTTTTGGGATTAAGGTGATGCTGGCCTCATAGAGTTTGGGAGGATTCCCTCCCTTTCAATTATTTTTGAATAGTTTGAGAATGGAATTAGTTCCTCTTTAAAAGTTTGGTATAATTCAACAGTGAAGCCATCTGGCCATAGGTTTCTCTTTGTAGGGAGAGTCTTTATTACTGATTCAGTCTCCATCTTGACTATGGGTCTATTAGGTTTTCCAAGTCTTAGTGACTCATTTTTGGAAGATTCCATGTGTCCAGAAATCTATCCATTTCTTATAGATTTTTCAATTTGTTGGCATATAGCTGATAAATTTCTGATGATCTTTTCTGTGGTATCTGTTGTAACATCTCCTTTTTCATCTCTGATTTTATTAATTTCATCCTTCTCTTTTAATTTTTATTTACTTTGGTTAGTTGAGCTGATAGTGTATCAACTGTTCTTTTTTTAAAAAAAATAGTTCTCCAATTTGCTGAGCTTTTGTATCTATTTATTCTCTAATTTTTTCTTTCTTCCTAACTTTGGGTTTTGTTTGCCTCTTGTTTTTCTAGGTGAACTGCGGGATTTTTGTAGATAATGCTTTATCAAATTGAGGAAGTTCCCTTATATTCCTAATTTGCTGAGTTTTTGTTTTAAAAATGAATGGAGGTTTGATTTCAGCAAAAGTCTCTTTTTCATTTATTGATATAATCTTATGATTTTTCTGCTTTTGTCTGCTCATATGATAGATTATATATATTTTTTTTAAAGATTTATTTATTTATTTAAAAGGCAGAATTACAGAGAGGCAGAGACAGAGAGATCTTCCATCCGCTGGTTCACTCCCTAAATGGCTGCAATAGCCAAAGCTGGGCCAGTCCGAAGCCAGGAGGCAGGAGCTTCTTCCAGGTCTCCCATGCGTGAGCAGGGGCCCAAACACTTGGGCCATCCTCTACTGCTTTCCCAGCCACAGCAGAGCGCTGGATCAGAAGTGGAGCAGCTGGGTCTAAAACTGGCGGCCATATGGGATGCCAGCCCTGCAGACGGTGGCTTTACCTGCTACACAACAGTGCTGACCCCAGATCATATTTTTGAATGCCAAACCAGCTCTGCATACCAGAATAAATGCTGTTTGGCTATAGTATAGTCTTTTTTGTACATTATTGGATCAATTTTCTAATATCTTGTTGATGACTTCTGAGTTGTGTTGATAAAACTGTTGTTGCTCTTTCCTATCTACTTTCGGTATCAGAATAATGCTGGCCTCACAGAATTAGTTACAAAGTGTTTCCTCTGCTTCTATTTTCTGGAACAGATTGTGCAAAACTGGCATCACATAATCCATGAATATTGGGTAGAATTCACTTGGTGAAACCGTCTGTGGTGGAGGCAGCCTTGTGGTGGAGCAGGTTAAGCCACCACCCACAATGCCAAGCATCTCATATGGGCACCGGTTCAATTTTCAGTTGCTCTGCTTCTGATCCAGCCCCTTGCTTATACACCTGGGAAGGCAGAAGATGGTATCTCAAGAACCTGTGTCCCTGCCATCCAGGAGTTCCTGGGGCCTGGTTTTGGCCTGGCCCAGCCCTGACTATTGAGGCCATTTGGAGAGTGAACCAGTGGAGGAGCTCTCTGTCTCTCCTACTCTTTATAACTCTTTCAAGTAAATAAACAAATGACTAAATAAATAGAAAGGGAGGGAGGGAGGAAGTAATAGTGGGAAGGAATGAAGGGAGGGAGAAAAAGAAGGAAGGAAAGAGAGAAAAAGAAAACTATTTTGGACCAATATTTTAATTTGGAAGCTCACTGTTTATTTTATAAAGCCTGGTATATAGTAGTTATTTCTCCTGCACGTTTATTAATTACATCTCTCACAGATTTGGTTTACTTCATCTAAGTATATCAAATCTGTGGGTATAGAATTGTTCACAACATCTCTTTATTATCCTTTCAATGTTCATGTAATCAATAGTGACGGCACTTTTCACGAATTCTGGTATTAATAGGTTTGTCTTCTTTTTCTGTCAGTGAGGCAAGATTTATTAGTTTTATTTTCATTGAATTTCACTCTGGTTTCTCTGAATTTCTTCATTTTCCTGTTTTCAGTTTAATTAATTTCCTCTGTGATTTCATTTCTTCTTACTTTGGATTAACTTGTTCTCCTTTTTCTTTTTTTTTTTTTTTTTTTTTTTTTTTTTTTTTTTTTGTGACAGGCAGAGTGGACAGTGAGAGAGAGAGAGACAGAGAGAAAGGTCTTCCTTTTGCCGTTGGTTCACCCTCCAATGGCCGCCGCGGCTGGCGCGCTGCGGCCGGCGCACCGCGCTGATCCGATGGCAGGAGCCAGGATCCAGGTGCTTTTCCTGGTCTCCCATGGGGTGCAGGGCCCAAGCACCTGGGCCATCCTCCACTGCACTCCCTGGCCACAGCAGAGGGCTGGCCTGGAAGAGGGGCAACCGGGACAGAATCCGGCGCCCCGACCGGGACTAGAACCCGGTGTGCCGGCGCCGCTAGGCGGAGGATTAGCCTAGTGAGCCGCGGCGCCGGCCTTGTTCTCCTTTTTCTAATTTCCTATGATGGATGATTATTGATTTTAGGTCTCTTGTGTTTTCTAATAGATGCCTTAAACTCCATAAATTCTTTTAGCAATGCTTTTACTGTATCACACAAAGTCTGGTAAGTTAATTCTATCAATTTATTTTGTTTATGATAAGATCAAAAGTGATCAAGAAATCTTGCTATTGCAAGAAATATTCATTAATGAATAAAAGCAGGATGAAATCATCATGTAAAACAAAAACTTACCATGTAAATTGAGAAAATTGTATAACAGCTTTGTCAATCCTTTCTGTAATCTGTAACACAGAGGACTTCATATACAACAGTGGCATCTCCTTTAAAGAATTACTATCAGGCTTATACTACCAAAACCATTTCTTGTGCCTCCAGTATCTTGAAAAATAAAAAAAACTGCTCACTCCTTTGATGACCACTTGGAGTATTCCAGGAAGGGACTTTCTATATCATCTTTCCCTTAAAGTTATATTCTTTAAAATATAACAGTATTTCTGTTCTCTACAGAAGGACATGGTATATGTAGACTATCATTTGCTTACTTTAAAAATGATGAAAAGTAATTCAGACAGGCAAAAAACTTGATGATATATAAGGTACATCAAAAAGTTCATGAGAAAGGCCAGTGTTGCACAGTGGGTTAAGCCACCACCTAGGACACTGGCACCTCACATGGGTGCTGTTTTGAGTCCTGATTGCTCCATTTCTAATCCAGCTCCCTGCTAATGTGCCTGGGAAAGCAAGAGAGGATGGCCCAAGTACACAGGAGACACAGACAATGTTCTTGGCTCCTGACTTCACCCTGGCCTAGCCCTATCCATTGTGACAAGTGAATGAAGATCTCTCTTGACGTCTCTTCTCTCTCTGTAACTTTGCCTTTCAAAATAAATATATAAAACTTAAAAAAAAAAAAACCTCATGGAAAATGTAATTAGAAGATAAATTTGTTTTGATGCAAAATATTTTGAAATCCACATATGTGGGGAGCAACTCGGACTAGACTAAGTTACTGGAATTAAGACTTATTCTATGCATCTGCTCTCCCACAATGTGGTGCTGGGAGAGGAGTAAACAGCTTCTACGCAGCTGCCTCCAGTTCGACCAATAAACTGCAGGACCTGCTCCTGATTGGAGGAGAGCAGCGTGCTCGGTGTGTGGGTAGCAGAGTTGGGATTGGTGGAAGAGGACTATAAAAGAGGAGAGAGACAACATGCACCAGGAACATCTGGATAATATCTGAGCAGCCCCCGAGAGAGCCGGCTGGCGGTGTGCCGCTCCCTCGCAGAAGTGGGGAAAGTGACAGGGGGAGCTGACCCTCCACGGAGGTGGAGAGGTTGGCAGCCAACCCAGGAAGAACCAGCAGCAAACCCGGGAAGGGCCGAGCAGACAAAAGAACAGCGCAGGGTCCTGTGTCGTTCCTCCGCGAATGGGGGAGCGACACACATATAATTTTTGTTTCTTTTTTCTTTTTTTTTTTTCTTTTTTTTTGACAGGCAGAGTGGACAGTGAGAGAGAGAGACAGAGAGAAAGGTCTTCCTTTGCCGTTGGTTCACCCCTAAGGACACTGCGGCCGGCGCACCGTGCCGATCTGAAGCCAGGAGCCAGGTGCTTCTCCTGGTCTCCCATGCAGGTGCAGGGCCCAAGGACCTGGGCCATCCTCCACTGCCTTCCTGGACCACAGCAGAGAGCTGGACTGGAAAAGGAGCGACCAGTACAGAATCCGGCACCCTGACCGGGACTAGAACCCGGTGTGCCGGTGCTGCAGGCAGAGGATTGGCCTATTGAGCCATGGCGCTGGTTTCACATATAGTTTTTTATAAACTGCATTTCCATCAACTCTTCAAAGATCCTTCACATAACAGAAAGCATGTTCAAGTATAAAAGTACATACAGACCGGCGCCACGGCTCCCTAGGCTAATCCACCACCTGCTGCGCTGGCACCCCGGGGTTCTAGTCCCAGTTGGGGCACCGGATTCTGTCCCAGTTGTTCCTCTTCCAGTCCAGCTCTCTGCTGTGGCCTGGGAGTGCAGTGGAGGATGGCCCAAGTGCTTGGGCCCTGCACCCGCATGGGAGACCAGGAGGAAGCACCTGGCTTCTGGCTTCGGATCGGTGCAGCGCACCGGTAATAACAGCCATTTGAGGAGTGAACTATTGGAAAGGAAGACCTTTCTCTCTGTCTTTCTCTCTCTCACTGTCTAACTCTGCCTGTCAAAAAAAAAAAAAAAAAAAAAGTACATACAAATTTGTTAGAAAACAAATGATATTAAACAGGTTTATAATTCTCTGTTAGAGTGTACGTAATCCTGAATGTGTCCCATGTGATATCTTAATTAATCTACCTTAGAAATGTCTTTTCCATTTTAAAAAATAGTCTACACAATAGCTAGAGATATTTAGAATTTTATTTACAGAAAATTAACAAAACATTATGAACATAATTTTGTTGGTAATAATTAGTAGAATCAAGAGTGGATTAATTTATGTCATTTGAGATACAATATACATTAAAATACAGTTTTTAGGCTATCTTTACCCATTATCTCTTTAAATTTCAATTTTTAACAAATCTAGAAAAAAAAGCAGTAGACATGAAACAAATTTACTAAATATTTAAAATTATGTAGCCTTCTACAAATATTACTCAAACTTAAAAACCATCTGCAAATTAAATCACTTTTGCATTACAACTGCTAAATATAAAGGAGTTAAGTACCAGGTAGAGCTCAAAATACACACATAAATTTTAAAAGAAAAATATTACATTAGCAATATCATAAATTAACAAAGATTTTCTGAAGAATATTGCATGATATAAAGCATATTAAATGTTTTATGAGTCTAGGATATTTTTTATTTACAATTTTGCCCATACAGTTTAAAACGCCAAAGCACTAAGCAAGGACCATTTAACAATGAGTAATGGGTGGCAGCATGTATCATTTAAGGATAAAAGGAAGATGGACTATGTGTTTCCACTTGCAAATAATATTCTTTATAGAAATGCCCTGTGTTTCTATTATCAGTGAATGACAAGAATCTTTACTATGTTAAAGAGACCATTCTATTACTGATGGAAGGCTTCTAATCTTATTTGGGTTGGATCTTCTGGATGTCTCAAGGCAATTCCATTACGCAGCAGCAGTTCAATATAAGGAGGCCAAAAGGAATCACTAATTTTGACATATGGATCATGTGGAACATCAAATAATCTATTTATAAGAGTCTAGAAAAAAATCATTTAAAATGTATTTTGTTACAGCTATAATTAAACAGAGGTTTCCACCAAAGAATGTTTTCTTTTCTCCTTGAATAACTGTTTATGTCATAATTTTTATTTACTAACTTAACTGTTTTAAAGAATGAGAAAAGCCTTAAAATGAATGTCTGCACTTTATCTTAAAAATATTTCCTAAAATGTGATAGAAAACATTTAAAAATCCCTTTTCTTAACATTAATAATTTCTTACATAAAAAATAGTTTGAAAAAATCAACATTCTACAAAATATGTATAAAACTCAAAAGAAAGCAAGTCTGCTGTATATTTAGGACAAAAGTAGGACAAAATCATCACTTCTGCCCTCTCCCAAAACATCTATTCTTCTGGTAAATCTTTAAAGCAGAGGCTGGCATGGGACAGCAGATTAAGCTGCCACTTGTGATGTAGGCATCCTGCATGGGTGCCAATTCCATTCCTGGCTGCTCCACTTTCAATCCGGTTCCATGTTACTGTGCCTGGGAAAAGAGTACTTGGGCCCCTGCAACCCACTTGGGAGACAAGGATAAAGCTCCTGGCTCCTGGCTTCAGTCTGGCCCAGCTTTGGCCACTGTGGCCACTGTGAACCAAGAGATGGAAGACCTCTCCTTCTGTCTATCCTTCTCTTTAACTCTGCATTTCCAATAAATTTCCATTTCCATCATCTGCTGCCTCTCAAGCACGTTAGCAGGAAGCTGGATTAGAATCCAAGCCCAAAACCAGGCACTCTGAAATGGGATGCAGGCATCCCAAGTTGCAGCTTAACCTGCTGCTCCACAGTACCCACCCCGAATATCTCTGATTTTTTTTAAAGTCTTATTTATTTATTTATATATTTACTTACTTATTTGAAAGAATGACACAGAAAAAGATCTTCCATCTGTTGGCTTATTTCCCAAATGGCTGCAACACCATGGCTGTGCCAAGCCAAAGCCGGAAGCCAAGAATTCCACTCAGGTCTCATTTGAGCCATCATCCACTGCCTTACCAGGAGCATTAGCAGGGAACTAGATGGAAGGCAGAGCAGCTGGGACTTGAACCAGTGCTCCAAGATGAGATCCCAGCACTGTGGGTGTCAGCTTACTGTACCACCCATCAGTTCTTCTGATTTCTTAATCATACATGTTGAGGGGTTACAATCAAAACTGAAAAGATTTGTGTAATCTGTATTAATTTTCCAAACTACAGTCTAAGAAATTGGTCTACATGATTTGGTTCTTATCTTGAAAAACAGGGTAGTCTAATAAATTTAGGGAAGGTTGCTAATGTGAATGAGAATCATCTGTCTATCTCAAATCCAATGGCATTAAGAACATTTTTTTCAAGAAAATATTTACAATTCTTTAAATATTAATGCTTTATAAAACATAGTGAATATTTTTACTATATTTTTTCCTCAGCTACCTTACAATGTTTTCACAAATTAAAAAATCAGAATTCAGAGAAGTTAAGGAACAAAAAATTAGTAGCAGGTCATGGATTAGACTATATCTGAATTGCCAAGCTATAGCTTTAATTGAAAGATGTTTTTATTTTAAGGAACACAGAAAAGACATAATTTACACAAATATAAAGTACACTGAAATGAATAAAATTAACCCACCAAGCTCTAATGGCAATCATATTTCATAATAATATCAATATCATAATCATCTTTAAAAAGATTTATTTATTTATTTGAGAGGCAGAGTGACAGAGCAAGAGAGAGGGACAGAAACTGAGAAAGAGGGAAGGTTGGAGGGAAAGAGACAGAGAGGGAGAGAAAAAGAGAGATATCTTCCATCCACTGGTTTATTTCTCAAATGGCTGCATCAGTCAGGTCTGGGCCAGGCCAAAGCCAGGAGCCCAGATCTCATTTTGGGTCTCCCATGAAGGTAGAAGGGACTCAAACACTTGGACTATCAAATACTGCTTTCTCAGGCATATTAGCAGGGAGCTAGATCAGAAGCAGAGCAGCCACAGACTTAAACTAGCACTCTGATTAAGGGATGAACTGCCAAGTGGCAGTTTAAGCCACTGCACCACAATATTAGCCCAGTATCACAATTCCAGATAAAATATTTTCAACTAGCATTAACTTTACCTACTTCAAGACCCACATCTTGGGGAAAAAACTTTTGGACTCATTTCTCTTAGGCATCACAATGAAGAATTAAATATATTTCTACTTTGTAGTAAGTATTCATTTTAGTACAACATAAAATCATTTCTTTTCATTTCTAATTTTAATTGTATTAACTAAAATTCTAGTAGATGCCAGAAATCGTTAAAAACAAAAAATTCAAATTTAAAATGAGTATGTATATTACATTTTATTTTTCATCAAGTTGCTGCTTAAGTATTCATGATTTTTAATACTGATAATGAGAATCTAAAAGACAAAGTTAGGTTTCAAATTGTGTTTTATACAGTATCCTATAGCACACTGTTTAAAAATTATATTTGAATTTCTAGTTTATGTCTTTCAAAATTTGTCAAATGAAAAACTATTGAAAAAATTTATAATGAGAAAAAACAGCCTTATTTCAGTAAAAGATGAAATAGCTAGAAATGTTTAAAGATTATAAATCTAACAAATATTTATATTTTGCTGTTCAAAGCAATAAAATTTTGTATTAAGATATCTTGAATCACAAAAATTGGTTAATTGAACAAAAAAGAGACGTTAGCTCCCAATTCATTAAATGACAGTGAAACATGTTTTCTGAAGTTGTTCTTTCTTCTAAATTTACTAAAGACCTTTAAACACTTGCCACAAATTGTCGTTATCAAGATTTCTAAAGTAATTAATAATATACCTTATAATCTGGTTCAATTTCAAAGTGATTTTTAAAAACAAGAATACTTACAAAGCAAAGTAAATGTCAGAAAGAGTTGGAATTACTCAGTTCTTATAATAATAAGTGACTGATGTCATTCATTTAAGGGAAATTCTGTAGAAATATCTATCATTTTAAGGAAAGACTCTTAAAACTCACATTTTTTACATAGAGCAGAAAACTTCCAACTAAAGATTCTATCAATGTAACAGCACAGGATTTCACTATGAATATTAAATAGCAGCATTAAAAATACTTCAGGCATTTATCTGTAATAAATCTCTTAAAGATTGAAGGTTAGACTTTAATTTCATATTCATTTTTAAAATTATTATATTTTTCCTAATACTGTAGAGAAGATGGACACCAATTTTCAACTAAAGTTTAATTATTATATATTTAATAAACATTGACATATTCCTTAAAAATTAAAGTTTTTCTTTTTAAGCCTGACTTTAACTATTCAAAAATGACTATGAGACAGCTTCAAGACAAACTAAAGAGAAAACTTACCTCTAATATTTCATGTAGTGTTATCAGCTGTGCAGTTGATTCTTGAATGCTTTTCTTTGAGAAAAATAAAGAAATTAACATTTCAATTCTGCTACTGGCAGAATATTAGGCTTAATTATGAAATTTTTAAAGTTAGTATTTCTTAACTTCAAGGGTACAAACTAACATTCATAATACAGTGATTTAAAAAGAAATATGAAAATAAATGTTATTGTACTAAAGTCAAATTCATAAAAATGTAGTTGGAACATCTTCTGTAAATTTTGTAATTTTTATGAAAATTTTGCAATTTTTGTGAAAATTTTGTAATTACTAGAAGAAATAATTCAAACTATTCATAAACATAAAATAAATTGCATTATATATATTATATAATCATATAAAAAGAAAGTCTAATGTTCAATTTCCCAACAAACTTCCCCAAACAAATGACCTTCCAGAGTATATTCATGCATTGTCAGGACAGGGGAACTAGCTTCCAAGAGAGCACCCTCATCTTTCTACAGCTGCTGATAGCTACTCATGTTAACTCAAAGGAGAGTAAGTCTCATCCCAATTCCACACAAGACTTCCTCAAACATTTGATGACAGCTATTAGAAGACCAAAAGTCGTCTACATATTAATTATCATGAGTTACTTCAATTATTTTCCAAATGTATAATTTGAAACCCTTCAATACCATGGTTGTTCTCTGAATGTGCTGTAATTTGTCTTATTCTTAAAGAGATGTAGATATTACATGAATATATAAATATATATATATCTTCTGAAATTCACCTATTTGCCAATACACCTTCTTGATAAATCATTAAAGGAAGAGATACAAAAATAATTGAGTCTTCCACAATGAAATAAGTGTGATTAAATCACCAAAGGGAAAAGAATGCTCACTTTAATAATTGGTTTAAAATTTCATCAGCACTGGACAACCATTTCATCCTGGTAACTTCTGGGTATACTATCATCTAAAATGACAAAGTGTTTTTCTAGCCAAGATATATCTCCCTAAATGTTTTAAATCCAAGAAGTATGTTCTGTATCTCTACTAAAAATCTGCCTATTTTATTTGGCTTAGTTCCTAGCCACCTGAAAAATACAGGATTAATTCTGTTATCCAATATATTTACTATCTTACCCAGTTTTATACTGCTGTAAACATAGATAATCATGTATTCTACTTTCTTATTGAAATTACTGTCCAAAACACTTAACAAGACTCTAATGTAAACTGCTAGAGACCTCCTTATAACAGTAGCTCTACGCAGAAGGTTTTCAATTAAATTCATTCAATTAATTACACACTCATATACCATACTAGCTCCTAGTACCTTTCTAATACCAGCCAAGGATTGCCATGGAGTCCTAATAAAACTTGGTGAAAATACAAATATGTCAAAGACATAGTAAAATAATACTAACAAAACCAAAAATGATTCTGAAGTAAATACAGTAAAATCAAATTTCAAAATTTTTTCTTATTAAACATTAAAAGAGTGGTGGTAAAAATAAGCATATGATTCACTATAGTGAAAGCAACACAAATATAGAATTAATAAACAAAAAGCAATGCACAGATTAAAATATAAATGAGACAATTAAAGGAAATACAGAGGGAAAACATGAGGAAATGAAACAATGAAAGGAAAAAGTTTCAACATACAATAAACATTAGGTATAATAAAAAAATTTTCATGCATGAAATGTAAACTAAATCTGGCCACATAAAGAACATGCCTTGTTCAATGTTAAACTGATACTGAATAACCAATTCTGTGACAAACTGATTTTAAATTAACTAAAGGTCAATGAAAATGAAGTTCATCATTTCATAGTCCAAAATAGCAAGTTATCTATAATCTGGCCTCAGACTTCTCCCAGGAACTTTCCATTTTAAGACATGAAGGAATGTCTTCCAAACCTTGAGGATTTAAAAAATAATATGGAGCTGGTTTTGAGGAACAGTGGGTTAAGAACCTACTAGTGTTGATGACATCCCATATGGGTGCCAGTTAAGAGTCCCAGATTTCCACTTCTGATACGGTTCCCTAGTAATGCAGCTAGGAAAGCAGCAGAAGACGGCCCAAGTACTTGGGCTCCTGCCATTCCTGCGGGAGATCTGGACGGAATTACCGGCTTCTGGCTTCAGCCTTTCCTGGCAGTTGTGGCCATCTGGAGAGTGAACCAGCGGTTGGAAGATATCTCTCTCTCTCTGTCTCTCTCCCCCTCTCTGTATTCTCTCCCCTTTCTAACTCTGCCTTTCAAGTAAATAAATTTAAAAAAAAATAAAGTGCTGAAGATTTATCCTTTGAGTATACAGGTAAAGAAAATACTTTCATCATTCAATAATTAAAATAGCAATCAATCCAATACAGTATAGAATGAAGGCTAAACATATACATGAATGATACTTTCTGAGCATACAACATAAATGGTATAATGTAAAACTAACACAAAGCAGGAAGTCAATACAACATAAAATTGAGAGATGAAGTTAAATCTTAAAATCTTTTAAGTTTTTTATGATTTGTTTTCTTTATATCAGAGGGATCTCTCCCAAACTAAAACCATTTGAAACAAAGAAATATTTATGTGGCCCTGGTGTGACACAAAGCAGCTGCTTACATTGCCAGCATCTCCTATCAGAACTCTGGTTCACGTCCCAGTTACTCTGCTTCCAATCCACCTCCCTGCTAATTTGCCTGGAAAAAAATAGCCCAATGGAGCCAGCACGGTGGTGTTGCCATTAAAGCCGCTGCCTACAGTGCCGGCACCTAATATGGGCACCGGTTCAAGTCCTGGCTGCTCTACTTCCTATCCAGCTCTCTGCTATAGCCTGGGAAAGCAGTAGAGGATGGCCCAAGTAGTTAGACCCCTGCCTCCGTTGGACCCCTGCACCTGCATGGGAGACTTGGAAGCTCCTGGCTACTGGCTTCGCATCAGCACAGATCCTGCTGTCATGGCCACTTGGGGAGTGAACCAACAGAAGGAAGACCTCTCTCTCTCTCTTTGCCTCTGCCTCTCTACAGCTCTGCCATGCAAACAAACAAAAGAATAGCTCAAGTGCTAGGACTAGAGCACATGGGGGACTTGGATGGATTCCCGGCTCCTGGCTTTGGCTTAGCCTATCCCCAGCTGAACATGGCCATTTGAAGAGTGAACCAGCAGATAGATGATCTTTTTTTTATGATTTATTTATTTATTTGAAAGTCAGAGTTACATAGAGAGAGGAGAGGCAGAGAAAGAGAGAGGTCTTCCATCTGCTGGTTCACCCCCCGAGTCGGCTGCAACAGCCGAAGCTGCGCCGATCCGAAACCGAGACAGGAGTTTCCTCTAGTTCTTTCCACATGCGTGCAGGGGCCCAAGGACCTGGGCCATCTTCTACTGCTTTCCCAGGCCATAGCAGAGAGCTGGAACAAAAGTGGAGCAGCTGGCACCCATACAAGATGCATGCACTGCAGGCGGCGGCTTTATCCACCACATGACAGTGCCAGCCCCAAAAAATCTCTTTCTCACTGTCTCTTCTCTTTTTCTCTGGCACTCTGCCTTTCAGATAAATAAAATCTTTTTTGTAAAAAAGAAATATTTATCTGAATTCAATATCACTTTTTCTATCAAATTTAAATAAAAATGACATTTAATATTCAATTTATATTAGCGTGTACAATATCTTCCATCATTCCATCTATTGACATATCTTTATAGTCAACTTGTTTAGGAAGATGGTTCAAATAGTGTCAATGATCTGATGGAGGAATTTTGATAGTCTTTAGCTTTCTTGTTTGTAGACCTCACCAGACACCAATCCAGAGTATCTTGATCCTGGACTTCTAGTATCCAGACTGTTACAAAAGAATTATCTGGGGGCTGGTGCTGTGGCGCAGCGGGTTAACGTCCCAGCCTAAAGTGCCGGCATCCCATATGGGCACCAGTTCTAGTTCCGGCTGCTCCACTTCTGATCCAGCTCTCTGCTATGGCCTGGGATCGCAGTGGAGGATGGCCCAAGTTTTTGGGCCCCTGCACCCACGTGGGAAACCTGCAAGAAGCTCCTGGCTCCTGATCGGCGCAGCTCCAGCACCTGTGGACTTCTGGGGAGTGAACCAGTGGATGGAACACCTCTCTGTCTCTACCTCTCTCTCTGTAACTCCTCTAACTCTTCAAAATAAATAAAATAAATCTTAAAAAAAAAAGTATCTGTTATTGAAACCAACTAGTCTGTGGTATTTTGTTATGGCAGTCTGCAGACTAACAGTATTATTCAGTATTACTGCTGGCCAAAGAGAGAAAGACAGAGACACTTATAATTTTATACCATGTATCGATATTCTTATATTTAATTTTTAAAAAGTGAGTTAGCAAATACAACTTAGTGAACATATGATGGCTTCCGGTAATTAACACTTCTTTTTTAGGATGTCTCAAACCCCTTAAAAAGCTTAAAAAGAAAGCTGAGATAAATAGAGGAGACTCGAGCCAGAAAATAAACCAATGAGTTGTTAGAATATTAAGATGATTAAATGCCAAGCTATCATGACCTTAATGAAATGGCCAACAGAAGACTATAAATAACTTCAGAAATAAATAAGAAATATAAATAACAAAGGACAGAATGGAAGAGACAGTCTATAACAAGCATAAAGCCTACAAGTAAGAAAAAGGGAAGAAAAAAACAACACACTGTTAAGAAGAACCTTTCCTCCTTTTCCAAGCATACTACATATATATAAATATGATGATAAGGAGTGGGCAATTAGCCTGGTGCTTACGACTCCTATCCCACATCACAATACCTGGGTTCGTTTCCTGGCTCTGGCTCTTTATTCCAGCTTCCTGCCAGCAAACACCCTGGAGGCCAGTGGTGACGGCTCAAGTAACTGGGTGAGTCCCTGCCACTCATGGGGGAGACCTGCGTTGTTTCCAGCTCCTGGCTCACTCTCAACTAGTTCAGCAGTAGTAAGCATTTAGAGAGTGAACCAGGGGATGGGAGCTCACTCACTCGCTCTCTTTCTCTCTCCGACTCTCCCTCTCTGACTCAGCCTTTCAAATAAATAAATCTTTAAAAAGAAAAAAACGAACTCAGAGGATACTATAAAAGATACACAGATATAAGAGATACAAAGATGAATTAAACACTTCAAGTAGTTCACAGTGCATCCGAGGAAAGAGGGAGATACAAATGATAATTACAAAATCATTTGACAAATGCTAACAAAGGACCCCGACCCCTAAATTTATAGTGCTTCACACAAAAAATGTTTGAGTTATCTTAAAGTAAGAATTTACTACCTTCATTAGACAGGAAGGGTTTTCTGGATAAAAGAAATAGGATGTATAAGGCATATTTATTGAAGTTATAGCAGTATAGTTGACTAGATTTGTGGACGAAATGGATAAAGAACAAAGGAAATCAGGTTGAAGAAACACTGAAAGCCCAGAGTATAAATTCATTATTCTAAGGTGTGGATAGATGCCACGCCATAGGGAACCATCAAGGGTTTTATGACAAAAAGTGATTAAACTATACATAGGTATTATAGAGAAATCATTTTGATGCCTGTTTCAAAGCCAATTCCAACTTCAGACATTTTCATTATTTATATTATATCATGCATAAAAAAGGAATTAAAGCAGTTGGTCATCATCTTTCTGTCACCAAATGAGATAGTTAATTGCTTTTTTGGAAAATGTTTATTTCACCATAAGTACTACCCAAATAGTGATTAACTTATGGTAAAATAACATATTTTAAACAATATTCTTCTGATTTAAAAAGTTACATATATTCATCATGAAAAATTTGGAAAATAATTAAAAGCAAAAGTAATCCCACCTACAATCCTAGCCCTCAGATACACATTTATTCATAAAAATTAGATTCTACAGTTTAGTGATCTGTTTTATTCATCTAACAGCAAAATGTAAGTATTTCATCAACTCCTGTGTTGTTCAATACATTACTTTTAAAAGCTGAATCATCCTAACATACATATATAATATAAAAAATGTATTTATCACATTTTATTGCACAACTAGGCAGTTTCTAATTTTTCAATAAATACATAATGATAGCACACTTCTTCTGCACATGTGTGTGTGTCTATATTTGAACTATATAAGAAAATTTGCTTTTGGACCTACTTAAACTAATTCAAATATGATTATCAAAATGAATGTCTTCTCCAAAATTTACCTTTTTCTTTTTAACACTTCCATCAGGCAGAGGAAAGTGGTCTTCTAGAAACTCACCCAAGGTAATCAAGAGTTTCTTCTTATACTTTTTTACATTAAGCAGTTTAGTTTTCAGCTCAGTAAAGATTCTAATAAATTAAAAACATTAAGGGAAACATTTAATGTAAAATAATATGCACATGCATCTGCTTATTTATAAAGTTGATGAAAACTTTGCTGAAACTTCAAACCAAATAACTACCTTTATGAAAGTAATATTTTTAATGTAACATGTAGGGAAATTAAAGGTACAACAAAAGGTTATACAACAGGGACAAGCATTTGGACAAGTAAGATGCGGCTTGTAGCTTCTGCATCCCATATCAGGGTGCCCAGATTGAGTCCTAGTTCCACTCCTGAAACCAGCTTCCTGCTAATGGTGCACCCCAGGAGACAGTAGGTGATGGCTGAACGAGTTGGTTCCCTGCCACTGACACGAGAGACCCAGGTTGAGTTCTGGCTCACAGCTTCAGCCTGTCCCCATTTAGGCTACTGTGGGCATTTGGGGAGTAAACAAGCAGATGTGAGCTCTCTGCCTCCCAAATTTTTAGAAAATGAAAACTAACAAGAACAAAGAACATCATGTAAATAACAGTTGGCAAAAATCAGAGCACGAATCACGATTCCTGGTAAAATTTACCTTCTTTCAACTACATTTCATGTAAGATAAAAAAGAAAACACTTTCTCTTATTTTAAAAACTTGGAACACAAAATTAGTACCTTGATTCAGAAAATGTCACAACCTGATTTTTCAATTCACTGTGTAGTACATTAAGAGATTCCATTATCTGTTGCTGTTCATCCAACCACTGCTGCTCTCTTTACACATGGAAAAACAAAACAATTAGCCAGATAAAATTTTAAAATGCCAACTCAACATATATGAACAATTAATACTACTTATAACATAAATATACCTTTTTAAGTCTTCCTTTAACTTTTCATTCTTTGACTGAATAGTAGATAGCACCATTTCAAGATCATGCTGCAATTTTTGGAACTAGAACAAAATAATTCAAATTAATTGCTTAGTTTTAATCATATAGTTTATTTCTGAATGATGTGAAGTTTACATATTGGGCTAGTATACTTCAGTTTAGGAATTAATAGCTTTTTTTAAAAAAGCATAGCAGAAAGCATTTGAAAGGATAAATACAAAACTAAGTTTCTGGTAGTATTCCATTTTAAAAATATAAGAATATGCAAGCAATATATTTTAATTTTATGCTGAAACACAAATGCTGTGTTTTTAATAATCACACAGATTAGGTCTCTTTTCTAAGGACACTATAAAACACACAAATGAACATTATTTATTAATGATTGATCAGTTATTGACTATTAGGCATTGCTAAAGTAGGCAGTGATGCAAAGGTGAACAAAACAACAAAAAGAGGAATCCTGACAACTCCAGCAAGTGATTAAGTGCCACAAAGAACAAATAACCTAAAATAAGAGTAGAGCCTTGAAAAATGGCTACTTTAGGTTGTGTGATAGAGAAAGAATGCTCCGATCAGGTCACATCTTAAGAACAGAGAAAGAATACAAAAATCTAAACCAAGTTACTATCTAGCAAAATAATGTTCTAGGAAGAGAAAATAATAAGCACCAGGGAAGTGAGACAGGAATGTGTCTTAGGCATTTTAGGAATAAGAAGACTATGTCACTAAAGTGAATCACAATGAACACTGGATTTTATGTAGTATCCTTTTGCTTCTGGAATGCATTAGCCAAAGGTTTCCATTAGCTTTTCTTTTTTTTTAAGATTTATTTTATTTATTTGAAAGACAGAGTTACAGAGAGAGGTAGAGACAGGGAGGTGTTCCATCCGCTGGTTTACTCCCCAGATGGCCGCAACTGCCGGAGCTGCGCCGATCCGAAGCCAGGAGCTTCTTCCGGGTCTCCCACATGGCTGCAGGGGCCCAAACACTTGGGCCATCCTCACTGCTATCCCAGGCCATAGCAGAGAGCTGGATCAGAAGAGGAGCAGCCGAGACTAGAACCGGCACCCAAATGGGATGCCAGCACTTCAGGCCAGGGTATTAACCCACTGCACCACTGTGCCGGGCCCTCCATTAGCTTTTATAAATCAAATCAGTAAGTATATTAAAGTATATATAAGTATATATTAAAGATGTATATTATAAACCTTAAATCCACTATGGAGAGAAAGAAGAAATAAATAATAAGACAACAGCAATTTTAAATGGGTCTATTTTCAAAAATATACAATCTAAGAAAGTGGGAAAAGAAAAAACAGGAACAGAGATTTTATAGGACAAATAAAAAAGATAAATCAGGACCAGCACTGTGGCGATAGTAAAGCCACTGCCTGCAGTGCAGGCATCCCATATAGCCACAGGTTCAAGTCCCAGCTGCTCCACTCCGATACAGTTCTCTGCGGTGGCCTAGGAAAGCGGTAGAAGATGGCCCAAGTCCCTGGAACCTTGCACCTGCGTTGGAGACCTGGAGGAGATCCTGGCTCTTGGCTTTGGATTGGCGCAGCTCCAGCCGTTGAGGCCAGTTGGGGAGTGAGCCAGTGGATGGAAGACCTCTCTCTGCATAACTCTAATTTTCAAATTGATAAACCTTAAAAAAAAAAAAAAAGATAAATCAAGAATGTAGATTTTGGGGGCAGCACTGTGACATAGCGAGTAAAGCTGCCATCTGCAATGCTGGAGTCCCATACGGGCGCCGGTTCGAGACCCAGCTGGCTACTCCTTTTCCAATCCAGCTCTCTGGTATGCCCTGGGAAAGCAGTAGAAGATGGCCAAGTGCTTCGGCCCCTGAACTCACATGGGAGAGCCAAAAGAAACTCCTGGCTCACTCTGGCCATTGTGAACATTTGGGGAGTGAACCAGAGGATGTAAGATCACACTCCACTCACTCCTCCCACTCCCCGCCTTTGCCTCTCTGTAACTCTGCCTTTCAAATAAATAAATCTTTATTAAAAAAAGAATGTAAATCTCAATGTACTCATTAATTTTATGTTAAATGTAATCTAATAATGAAATTAAATTAGAAAAAAATAATAGAAAAGTATCTAGAAAACTTTGCAAACGGCATACTTCTAGATAATCCATTGGTCAAAGAAGCAATAGGAAAGTAAAATATTATAATTGACTGAAAATAAAAACATCAAAATTTCTGGAAAGAGACTGCAAAAAACAATCTAATAAAAAATTTAAATCAATGAAATAGAAGGAAAAAAACGAAGAAACAAATTCACAACATCAAGAAAGAGGTAATATCATAACAAATCTTAAAATGAGAATGAGGGGGCCAGCACTGTGGCGTAGTGGATAAAGCCACAGCCTGCAGTGCCAGCATCCCATGTGAGCACTGATTCAAGTCCTGGCTGCTCCACTTCTGATCCAGCTCTCTACTATAGTCTGGGAAAGCAGTAGAGGATGGCCCAAGCACTTAGGCCCCTGCACCCATGTGGGAGACCTGGAAGAAGCTCCTGGCCCAGGCTTCAGATCGGTCCAGCTCCAGCAGTTGCAGCCATTTAGGGAGTGAACCAGCAGATGAAGACCTTTCTCTCTCTCTCTCGCTCTCTGCCTCTCTGTAACTCTGACTTTCAAGTAAAATAAATAAATGTTTTAAAAAAAAAGAGAATGCTAAGAAAACTTTTATGTTTATAAATCTGACAAATTAGATGAGATGGATACATTTTTTGAAAGATACAAATGGAGAGATTTTGAGACAAACAGAAAATCTGACAAGATCTAAGAAACTGAATTCCTAGTTAAAAAATTTCCCAGAAGAAAATTATTATTCAATATCTCTGAATTTTTATTCAGTTTACTGGAAAACTACAGGCTGAGACAACTCTACCTCTGAACTGAAATAGACGTTTAAAGAAAAATATAACACTAATTATACACCAACTCTTTTGAAAATAAGAGGATATTTCTCAGGTTATTTCATGAAGCTAGTATTATCCTTTTATTAAAGCCTGATAAGGATATCACAAGAAAACCACAGAAATTTCAGAAACACAGATGTAAAATCATAATAAAGTTCTAGCAAGATAAATTCAGCAATAAATAAAACAGATTAATACATCCAAGCAGAGTAGGTTTTATGCCAGGAAAGCAGTTAATTAAGCAGTGGAAATCATTTTTAAAAATCAGTGTTCTCGGCTGGCGCCGCAGCTCAATAAGCTAATCCTCCACCTAGCGGCGCTGGCACACCAGGTTCTAGTCCCGGTTGGGGTGCCGGATTCTGTCCCAGTTGCCCCTCTTCCAGGCCAGCTCTCTGCTGTGGCCTGGGAGTGCAGTGGAGGATGGCCCAAGTGCTTGGGCCCTGCACCCCATGGGAGACCAGGAGAAGCACCTGGCTCCTGCCTTCGGATCAGTGCGGTGCGCCGGCCGTGGCGGCCATTGGAGGGTGAACCAACGGTAAAGGAAGACCTTTCTCTCTCTGTCTCTCTCTCTCTCACTGTCCACTCCCCTGTCAAAAATAAATAAATAAATAAATAAATAAATAAATAAAATCAATGTTCTCCATCCTGCTTCCGGCTCATGACTCTAGCTTCCTGCTAATACAGTCCCTGGGAGATAGCAGGTGATGGCTCAGATACTTAGGCCCCTGTCACCCACATGTGAAATCTGGACTGAGTTCCTGGTACCAGCTTTGGTCCTTACACAAACTCAGCGATTTGGGGAATGAATCCGCAGACAGAAACATGCTCTTTGAAATACATTAAAAAATTATTTTTAAAAATTCTGTTCAGGAGCTGGCACTGTGATGCAATCAATGGGTTAAGCCAACACCTAGAGCACCGGCATCCCATACAGGTGGCTGGTTGGAATCCTGGCTGCTTCCAGCTCCCTTGTAACAAGACTGAGAAAGCAGTGGAGGATGGCCCAAGTACTTGGACCCCTACACCCAAGTGGGAGAACTGGATGAAGCTCCTCACTCCTGGCTTCAATCTGGCCCAGTCCTGGCTGTTGTAGCCATTTGAGGAGTAAACCACAATGAAAGATCGCTCTCTCTCTCTCTCTCTCTCTCTCCTTCTTTTACTCTCCCTCCCTCTCTTCCCCCACTTCTGTAATTCTGCCTTTCAAATAAGTAAATCAATCTTTAAAGAAAAAAAAAATTCTGTTGCAGGCATTGTGGCATAGTAGATAAAGCTGCCACCTGTAACGCTGGTATCCCTTGTGGGCCCCCATTCATATCTCAGCTGCTCTTTTTCCAATCCAGCTCCCTGCTAATGTCCTGAGAAAAGCAGCAGAAGATGGCTCAGTTGTTTGAGCCCCTGCCACCCACTGTGGCAAGAAGCATCTGCAACAAGAAGCTCCTGGCTCCTGGCCCAGCCCTGGTATCACGGCCACTTGGGGAGTGAACCAGTGCGTAGAAGATCTCTCTCACTCTGTCTCTCCCCTTCTCTCTATGACCCTGCTTTTCAAACAAATAAATCTTTAAAAAAAGAAAAAAAATTCTATCCAATAAAACAACAAAAAATGAAAACTTAATATGATTTCAGAGTGGCTTCATCCTATTTCTTATGGCATGAACTTACCAAAAACAGTTCCAATTATAAATTACTAGGGATTAGTACAAATTCATTAACTGACTTACCTCTTCTTTTCCTAATGTTACCAGAACATCGTCATTTAGGGGAGCTACTACAAAGAGCAAAACAAAACCAAATTATATATAGGCTTAGTTAATTCTCAATAATTCAATTTTGTGACTTTTTAAGAAAACCTTTTCCATTTCTTTATATATCATACAACTTTTTATGAAATGTGTGCATTTTATAAAATTACTTTTATTTAATATCTTGCATATATAACCAGCTATATGTAATTTTAGATATATTTGGCCATATTTATACATTTTGCTCTGTCTTCTTTTCCTCTTTGTTTTTTACAAGTTTAAAAGCAAACTTGATTTACAGTGTTCTCAAACATCTGTCTCTGCAGTCCCATGATCTTATGCATATATATACATATACACATACACACACATATAAATGTAAAAAGGTTATTATTGTTATCATTGCTGACTTTACAAGGATGGTATATCATATATATTATTCTCATCTTGTTTTTACTCAACAAACACCCACAGAAATCTTTTATGTCCATCAGATATATATTTAATTCATAATTTTAACACTATATAATATTCAAATGTGCATGTATCATAACAAATTGAGTGATTCCCTTACTGACAGAGCATTAACTTTGTGTTTAGTCTCTAGCCACAACAAACAAGGATGTAGTAAGCATCTTTTTTATGTCTTCATGTATTAGTGCTTTCATTTCTATGAAACAGTTTTCCAGAGATGAAATTTTGCAGAATGAAATAAGCATCTGAATTTTAATAGAAGATGCCAGATTCAATGAACAAATATTATACACTCTTGTAAAATTTTTGCTAGTCTGATAAGTAGAAATGAATATTTAAGGTGGGAACTCACTTTTTTTTTTTGACAGGCAGAGTTACACAGTGAGAGAGAGAAGAGAGAAAGGTCTTCCTTCCATTGGCTTACCCCCCAAATGGCTGCTATGGCCAGCGCGCTGCGCCAATCTGAAGCCAGAAGCCAGGTGCTTCCTCCTGATCTCCCATGTGGGTGCAGGGCCCAAGCACTTGGGCCATCCTCCAGTGTCTTCCCGGGCCACAGCAGAGAGCTGGCCTGGAAGAGGAGCAACCGGGACTAGAACCCAGCCCCATATGGGATGCCAGGTGCCGCAGGTGGAGGATTAGCCAAGTGAGCCATGGTGCTGGCCTCGGAACTCACTTTCTATCTCATTGTCACTCTCCCTTTCAAATAAGTAAATAAATAAATCTTCAAAAATGGAGAAATCAAGATATGCTCAAAGAAAAATAAAGAGAAATTGTCAACAGCAGACCAACCATACAAGAATAGCTAAAAGAAATTTTTGAAATAGAAACAAGAGGGACTAGTGTTGTGGCACACAGCAGGTTAAGCTGCCGCCTGCGATGCCAGCGTCCCATGAGTGCTGGTTCAAGTTGCTCCACTTCCAGTCCAGCTTTCTGCTAATATGCCTGGGAAAGCAGTGGAAAATGGCCCAAGTGCTTGCCTCTGCCATGCATGTAGGACACCTATATGGAGTTCTTGTATCCTGGCTTCAGCCTAGCCAACCCCTGGACAATGTGGTCATTCAGGGAGTGAATAAAATAATGCATAGAAAGAAAGGAAAATGGAATAGCTTCCTGATATCAATGTAATTTAAACAATTTCAGAAAGTGAATCTTATAATTCTTTTGTAATCATTAAATTAATTTCTCATTAATTTGCTCACAAAAATACAAACTTAAAATGAATCTTACTTTCAGGTGTTTCTTTTTGCCACTGACTGAGTTCAGCAGTCAAACATTTCACTTGCATAATTAATAGTGAAATCTTTAAAAGAAGAATAAGAGAATAAAACAAAGTTAGTTCTTATGAAATATGCATAGCTATTCATTGATAAAAATGAAGACAATCTCAATATTGTAACATGAGTTCCTAATATAAATAGCTAATAAAATAGCACATCCAAACTGTAAAAAAATTATCACTACACTTTAAAAATGATTACATAACCTAATTATAGCTATTAAATTCACTTTATACTCCTAATTTAGTACTAAATGATAAATTCTGCTTTATCACTCAAAAGAAACTATGCATGTTGTTTCTTTCATAAACACACTTTACAGCAAAAAAATAAATATCTCTTTCTTACCAATATTTTTAAAAACAAATTTGCTTAAAATTCATTCTGTTTCCTCTCAATGCCTTTTCAGAAAAAGGCCACGTTTAGGTGAGTAGCTAGAAATAAATTTAAATACACATATGGAGACAATTATAAAACCTAGTTCTACAAGCTACATATAAAAATCACTTTTCTACACAAGAGTATGTAAATTATGTATCCCTTAGTCAAAGGTAAAATAGATGAGTATGTTTTTGGTTTTAGGTATCTTCAGTCATTCTAATTTTTAAAAAAGATTTATTTATTTGGGGCCGGCGCTATGGCACAGCAAGTTAAAGCCCTGGCCGGAAGCGCCGGCATCCCATATGGGCAAGGTTCTAATCCCGGCTGCTTCTCATCTGATCCAGCTCTCTGCTATGGCCTGGGAAAGCAGTAGAAGCTGGCCCAAGTCCTTGGGCCCCTGCACCCATATGGGAGACCCGAAAGAAGCTCCTGGCTTCAGATTGGCGCAGCTCTGGCCGTGGCGGCCATCTGGGGAGTAAACCAGCAGATGGAAGACTTCTCTGTCTACCTCTCTCTCTAACTCTGTCAAATAAATAAAATAAATCTTTAAAAAAAAAAAAAGATTTATTTATTTGAAAGCCAGTCAGAGAGAGCGGAAGAGACACAGAAAGAGAGAGAGACCTTCCATCTACTGGTCTATACCCCAAAATGGCTGCTAGCAGGCCAGGCCAAAGCCAGGAGCTCCATCTGAGTCTCCCATATCGGTGGCAGAAGCCCAAGTACTTGGGTCATCCTCCACAGCATTTTCCCAGGTACGTTAGCAGAGAGTTGGATCAGAAGTGGAGCAGTGGGGACTCAAACCAGCATTCATATGGGATGCCAGCACCACAGGAAGTGCTGTACACTGCACAATGCAGGCTCTAGTCATTCTAATTCCGATCATTACAAATGCATGTACAATTTCTTGACTGATTAAGACCACAAGAGTAAGATACGGGGCTGGCACTGTGCGTAGTAGGCTATGCCTCTGCCTGCAGCATCAGTATCGCATATGGGTGTCAGTTTATGTCCCGGCTCCTCTTCTGGTTCAGTTCTCTGCTATGGCCTGTGAGAGCAGTGGAAGTGCTTGGGCCCCTGCACCCATGTGGGAGACCTTGAAGAAGCTGCTGGATCCTGGATTCAGATCAGCTGTTGCAGCCATTTGGGGAGTGAACCAGTGGATGCAAGACAAGCTCCACCCCGCTGTGTCTCCCTCTCTGCCTGTCTGTAACTCTGCCTCTCAAATAAATAAAATCTTAAAAAACAGAGAGAGAGTAAAATTCAATAGTGCTTTAAAAAAAACCACTTATTTGAAAAGCAGAACATCAAAGAGAAAAGAGACAGGAAAAGAGAGAGAAAAAAAAGAGAGAAAACAAGCATCCATCACTAGTTCACTTCCCAAACGCCTACAGCAGCCAGGTCTGGATCAGGCTGAAGCCAGGAGTCAGGAACTCCATCTTGATCTCCCACATAGACGGCAGGGGCCCAAGCACTTGAACCATCATCCACTGCCTTCCCAGGGAGCAGGGAGCTGGATTGGAAGCAGAACGGCCAAGACACAAATCAGCACTTTGATAAGGTTTTCCAACATTGAAAGCATTTGGGGAATGAACCAGCAGATAGAGGATATTTCCATACCCATCTTCATATCTCTTTCTCCTTCTTTCTCTCCCTCTCCCTCTCTCATCATTGCGGCCATTTGGGGAGTGAACCAATAGATGTAGGATATCTAGTCACTCTCTCTCTCTGTAGCTCTGCCTTTCAAACAAATAAATACATTTAAAAAAAAAAAAAAAGGCAGCAGAAGCAGCAAGACAAGATTTGAACCCAGCCACTTTGATGTGGAATGTAGTATCCCAACATGAGACTTAATCACTAGCTCAAACACCTGCCCCAAAGTATTTTTTTATTTTCTATTTATAATTCTTAATGTTACCTATTCAGATCAAAACTGGTATTTCAAAAATGTAATAGGTATTAGTAGAAGTGCTCTGAAGTGAGCACAAAAAAATGAAATAGAGATTTTTTAAAGGTGGAGTTAGAGAGGGAGACAGAGATCTTTTTTTTTTTTTTTTTTTAAGATTTATTTATGTATTTGAAAGGCAGAGTTAAAGAGACAGAGAGAAGAAGAGACAGAGAGGTCTTCCATCCGCTGGTTCATGCCTCAAATGGCCACAACAGCTAGAGTTGAGCTAGTCAAAATCAGGAGCCAGGAGTTTCTTCCGGGTCTCCCACATGGGTGCAGGGGCCCAAGCACTTGGGCCATCTTCTGCTGTTTTCCCAGGAGCATTAGCAGGGAGCTGGAATGGAAGTGGAGCAGCTCACACTGACACCCATAGGGGATGCTGGTGCCACAAGCGGTGGCTCTACCCATAATACCACAATGCTGACCATGAACAGGTTATTTTTTTTTTTTTTTAACAAAGGATTTACTGATTTATTTGAAAGTCACAGTTAGAGAAGGAGACAGAGATCTTCCATCCATGAGTTCATTCCCCAGATGGCCACAAAAGCCATGGCTGGGCTAGAACAAAGCCAGGAGCCAGGAGTTTCATCTTGGTCTCCCACAAGGGTAATAGGGGCCCAAACACCTAGGCTATCAACTATTGATTTTCCTAGGCCATTAGCAGAAAACTGGATGAGAAGTAGAGTAATGGGAATGGGAACGCAGCCCTTATGGGCTGCTGCCAGCCCCCAAAACAGGTATTATGGCACTCTGGAGAAATTTTAAAAGTTCATGAAAATTTTGCATTATTAAAAAAGTATGCCTGGGATACCAGTGTTGTGGCGCATTGGGTTAGGCCACAGTCTGTGACACCAGCAATCCATAAGGGTGCAGGTTGGTTCAAGTCCTGGCTGCTCTACCTCTAATCCAGAAGACCCAGATAGGGTTCTAAACTCCTAGCTTCAGACTGGCCTAGTCCCAGCCATTTGGGGAATGAACCAACAGATGGAAGATCTCTGTTTCTCTCTCTAACTCTGCTATTCCAATAAAATAAATAAATTTTTTTTAATTTAAAACATTTTTTAAAGATTTAGTTGAAAGGAGTTAGAGAGGGAGAGAGAGAAAGAGAGAGAGAGAGAGAGATCCTCCATCCACTGATTCGCTCCTCAAATGGCCTCAACAGCCGGAGCTGGACCCATCCAAAGCCAGGAGCCAGGAGCTTCTTGCAGATCTCCCACATAGGTACAGGGGGCTAAGGACTTAGGCTGCTTTCCCAGGAGCATTTGCAGGGAGCTGGATCAGCACTGATATGCAATGCCAGCATTGCAGGCAGTGGCTAGACCCCCTATGCTATAGTGCTGGCCCCAGTAAATAAATCTCTCTTTTTTTAAAAAAAGATTTTATTTATTTATTTGAGAGAGAGAGTTACAGACAGTGAAAGAGAGAGAAAGGTCTTTCCTCCATTGGTTCACTCCCCAAATGGTCAAAACAGCCAGAGCTACGCCGATCCGAAGCCAGGAGCCAGGTGCCAGGTGCTTCTTTCTGTCCTCCCACACAGGTGCAGGGGCCCAACCACTTGGGCCATCCTCCACTGCTTTCCCAGGCCACAGCAGAGAGCTGGACTGGAAGAGGAACAACCAGGACTAGAACCAGCGCGGGATGCCAGCACTGCAGGTGGAGGATTAATCTAGTGTGCCACGGCGCCGGCCCCGCCAATAAATAAATCTTAAAAAACAACAACAACAACAACAACAACAACAAAAAACTATGCATGGAGCAAGTATTCTTATATTTACTCTACAAGAGCACCACAGTAGCTCAAAGGCACTGTTTTATATTCTACATTACCTACTGAAATAAGAAAAAAAATCCAATTGTCCCTTTGAAAACTACATAAATTATATAAAAATGTATTTCCAATTACTCAAAATTTTTACCAAGAGAATTTTTTAATTAAATAAGAACGTGAAAAGTTTTTGTAAACTATAAAGTGAGTTATAAGTTTTTTGTTGCTGTTAGTTCATATCTTTTAACAACTCCTTATACACATTTATTTGTGTTCTGCTTTACTAAAGCAATAGGTCAGTCAACATTTGCCACAATAATGTAGCTAGCAATAAAACTCCAGCATCATATCTATCATAAGGGCCCTCCTGACAAAGGCAAGTAATTATGCCATTCTAATCCACCTTATAGTACTTCGAAACAGTCAGCTTAACCTTCTTTATCTAACACTTGCTATTCTTGGGAGTGGTGTAAGATTTTTTAGCACCACCAAGAAGTTTCAACGCATGAAGAGTAGTCTCTGCTTAAACATTATAGTCAGATAACATATTTTGGTGATCAGAAAGAATTCCTTCCTTATCCTGGATCTTGGCTTTTGCATTTTCTTTTGCATCCAAAGTTTCAAACACAGGAATGATGATCTTTCCCATAATGGTTTTTATGAAAATCTGCTTCTTGGTGGCAGTACCACTGTACATGCCGATCAGAGAGGGTTATAAATGTTTTATTATTACTAAGAAGGAATAACAAATTTTAAAAGTAGCATTTAAAATAGGTAAAATTACTATTTATAAAGACATTCATATAATTTCTATTCATATTAGGTCAAAACATGGAACTACTGACACTCATTTCTAACCTATGAAAAACTAGTACAACCTCATACTATAACAATGAAGCACAACTCTCAGCCAAAGCCTGACAAGGCAAAATATTCAAATTATTTATCATGGTATAAAATCAATGCTCCTTCCAAAATATAAAATAACAGTATTATTTCATTTAAATATAAACATTTGATAAATTTACCATTTTCTCAGTTAAAATATCTAACTTCTTGCTTTAGAAAATGTTTCAAGTTGAAATATGAAGGTTTTAAAGTTAATAGGCATGCAGAAAAGAGTGAACAAAGCAGGCCTAAGGCTGCTATGATTTTTTTAAAGATATAGTTCTTGTATTTATTTATTGCATTTTACTTGAAAAGCAGAGCAACAGATTGAGAGTGACAGTGAGAGAGAGAGACACAGAGACAGAGAATTCTACCTTCTGGTTCACTCCCCAAATGGCCACCACAACAGCCTGGGACTCAACTGGGGTCTCTCTAATGAGTGACAGAATCCAAGAACTTGAGCCATCATATGCTTCCTCTCAGGGTACACATTAGTAGAAAGATTGATTGGAGGGCCGGCGCTGTGGCATAGCAGGTAAATCTGCCACCTGCAGTGCCAGCATCCCATAAGGTCACAGGTTTGAGTACCAGCTGCTCCACTTCCAATCCAGCTCTCAGCTATGGCCTGGGAAAGCAGTAAAAGATGGTCTGTGTCCTTGGGCCCCTGCATCCACATGGGAGATCCGGAAGAAACTCCTGGCTCCTGGCTTCGGATTGGCACAGCTCCAGCCGTTGAGGTCAGCTGGGGAGTGAACCAGCAGATGGAAGACCTCTCTCTCTCTCTCTCTCTGCCTCTCCTTCTCTATCTAACTCTGACTTTCAAATAAATAAATAATCTTTAAAAAAAAAAAAAAAAAAAGAATGAATGATGGATTGGAAAGAGATGAAACTTGAATCCAGACACTCAGATATGGGATGCAGTATACCAAGCAGTAGAATAACCTCCTGAGCCACAACGCCCACCCTAACTGCTACCCTGGGAAAGGCCTACTTGGCAAGGCAGGCAAAAGCCTGGTATGTGGCAACTTGGATTTCCAGACAGTTCCCACCAACAAATTGTTAAGAACAACTCAACACGCAAAAATTATTTGTGCAAAGAGTTTATGCTGAGCTCTGCTTTCCTTCTGGTAGTCTGGTACTTCCATACTTGCCAGGCAGAGGGTGCTTATGTGACCTGTTTCCACTAAAAACATTAGGGACTGAGTATCTAACAGAGGCAATGGTAGAAGATATCTCAAGTTTCAGAAACTTGCGATTGGAAGAATTAAGTAGGCTTTGTATGACTTTACTGGGAGAGAATTTCTGCAAGTGCTTGGTTTCCTCCAAAATTTATCCCATTTCTCCTCTGCTGATTTTACTCTGCATCATTTTACTGAATAAATCTTAGCCATGAGAACACTATATACAGAGTCCAGTGATTCCTCCTAAAGAATGATCAAATCTGAGAGATCTTGGGATCCTCAACAAAATAGGAAAAGCCACATACTATGGCTGCTTTGCATACTGTTATTATTGACCATTTCAGGACACTGCACATTTACAACTACGTAAGTACTCCCCTCAAAGCCTGTGATTGGCTTACTACATGAAAACCATTCAGGAAGCTTGTAGTACAAGCCCTAGTGATTTTCACAGTTTCTACCATACAGAAACCACATTTCCCAAGGAAACTAGATCATATTTTACTTAGGATACTTTCATAATGCTTTTTTTTTTTTTTTTTTTTTTGACAGGCAGAGTGGACAGTGAGAGAGAGACAGAGAGAAAGGTCTTCCTTTGCCATTGGTTCACCCTCCAATGGCCGCTGCGGCCAGCGCGCTGCAACCGGCGCAACCGAGCTGATCCGATGGCAGGAGCCAGGAGCCAGGTGCTTTTCCTGGTCTCCCATGGGGTGCAGGGCCCAAGCACTTGG